CACGCGTTTATGCACCAACACCACACAAGATCGCATGCACACACACACGCACACACACACACACGCATGCGTGCGCACGCATTGGTGCATGGGCCTTAACGTGGCCTATCAGAGAGACGCTTGGGCTTTCTGTCCCACGGGTGAAGAAGATACGTTCTCATTCACTGGTTGCCTCTCTCTATTTGTATCTTTCTGTGGGTGTTCCTCCCTCTCTCTCTCCGTCTCTCTGCCTCCACCCGTCTCTTCTCCCCCCGCTTTTCTGTCTGCATTTTTCGGTTCATGAGGAATTCTGTGGGCACGGGAAACATTGGAAGCCGAGCATATTGAGTCCAGTTGCTGGGTCACACCAGCCCTGAAAGCCTCGTCGCCCCCAGCGTTTCAGTTTTGTGAACCAACACGGCCACTGCCCTGTAAGTCACTGCAGTTCCTTTTCTTTCTCTTTATCATGGAAACTCCTGTCTGAGCGCCCAGAGAAGTCTGGGTCTGATCAGCACCTAGCAGGGTCCAGTTAAGGATGGGACACAGGACGGGCACCGGAGTTTGTGAAATAAATGAACAAATGAGCAAAATTGAAGCAAACATTGACTAATGCCTTGACTTAGCAAAACCGAGAGCTGTTCTTCTGTTACCCGGTGCTGGTGGGAACGGAGCTCCCACCCTGCTGCCTGCTGGTGCGCTGAACAAAACCCCTTACGTCCCAGTTCTGGGGTCACCACGGGGGGAACGGCCAGGGCTGTGCTGTGTGGTCCGGCAATCACTGTCCCTCCGTGGTGGACCCTCATTAAGACGGGGGCAGGAGTCCTCAACCTCTCAATGAGGACGAATGAACACCAAGACCCACCAGGGTCCCCCCAGCGCCCCAAGGCAACCCTAGGTTTTGCTAATTCGAGGCATTAATGTTTGCTTTAATTTTGCTCATGTTTCTTTTCCAGACACACTTTTTATTGAGAAGGGAAACTTTTCCCACTATTCTAAGTGGACAACCAGGACCCCATGCCATAAGGAAGGGAACGGGAGAAAATAAGGCAACAGCTATGTTTTTATGCCACCAGACCCTGCACATGTCAGTGCATCATGTCTGAACACCGAGCTGCTCGTGAAAATGGGAGCTCAGCTGGGGTCCAAGGGAACTGCAGACATTTTAGCACCAAATGGGGCTTATGATTCCGACAGAGAGAAGAGGCTCGTGGAGGGATCCGACGTTATTTCGCTGCCAGTACCAATCACCGAAGCAACCCCTTTGGCAGCATTTTGCAGGCCCTTCCTCCTCCAATTTGTGGGGTTCACCTTCCTAGTTACCCGGAAGCTTGAAGGCCAGAAGTCACTATCAGATGATCCCTCTTGCTGCACAAATGGAGAAACTGAAGCCAAGACTGGGGCAGACCCGGGACGGGCTCAAGCCCAATTCCCAGTCCCTGCTCAGACTCATTGATGGCGGCCTGTTAGCCACCAGCTGCCGTGGCCCGAAGCCCTTGGCCTGGGATTGCCTTTCCACACTCATCTCTCAGCTTCCTCTCTGCCTCGCCCGCAAAACAGTAGACAAGGCGATGACCCGCTACACCTTCCCGCCATCGCACAGTTCCACCACCCGGCTACCAGCCTACATTTCTTTCCACCCACCCAATACTTCCTCCTCTCAAGGATCACTGCCAGACCTCCCTCCTTCCAGAACCTTCTCAGACCCTCCTCAAACTCTCACTTCCCTGAGGTTCACGGTTGAGCCCTCCAGCTCCCCAGGAATCTGTTTCCTCTCTTTCCACATCTACAGTTGTACTTTCAAGGTTCAAGAGTCAAATGCTCCTTTTAGGCACTGATTCACTTTGGGCCAGTGACTTCGCCTCTCTGGGCCTCAGTTTCCTCATCTGACAAATGGGGACAATGACAGCACCTACCTGCCAAGAGTTCTGGTGACATGAGGTTAGTCTAGAGCTGGACACAGGGCTCCCTGCCCGGTAGGGGTGCTCGGCAAACAGCCCAAACGGCCCACCAGCACTGGCCAGGGGATCCTCGGGTGAGGCTGCACCAGGCACCGCTGACCAGGCCAGCATCTGGGGCTGACGCGGAGCCAAGGGCTGGCCCATTTCCCAGACCTGGCAAAGCCCCCAGCAGTGTCTGCCTCCCCAGGCTGGGCTGGCAGCCGAGGGTCCGTCTGAGGAGGGGCTGTCTCAGAGGGTATTTCTAACACAGCTCAATCATGTCCCTTTCCGGCTCACACTCCCTCCATGGCTCCCTAGTGCCCTCTAGGCCTCCAGCCCTGCTCTGGCCCAGGGGGGCTACAGCATCCCTGTCTGGCTTGATCTCCCCTGGCTGGAGCCTCCTTCAAGCCAGCCAGCCAGAGCCCCAGTCATCCCGCAAAGAGCCACCACTACAAACAACAGATTTAACAAAACGGACATCCCAGAAGCCTTTCCTGGGTCCCAGGAAGGGGGAATTTCATCCCCCGTTGGGAATAAAGATTGGGAAACTGAGGCCCCAAGAGGCCAAGTCACCTTGCCAAGAGCTCCCAGCCGAGCCCACTTCAAATCGCACACTCAGAGCGCTTATTCACTGTGCATGAGACTATCTTTTGGTGGCGGGAGGGGTCGGGGGTGGCTTCTATTTTCTCTTTGCTGATCTGAATTTTCTCCAGGGAGCCTGCATGCCTCATGCAATTAAAAAGAAATGTTAAATAAATGTAGGTGCCGTTGTCAGGGTTCCAATGCGTGGGCAACGTGACTGATCCTCAACCGGTCAGTACCCGTACACAGAGTTGCCAACAGGTCTCAGAGAGAGGCAGCCCCCATGGGGGTCACACAGCTATTCAGAGGCAAATCTGGAGACTGACCTTTGGGGAGGGGGACAGGTCAGGTCCCCACAGGTGGCAAGGGGGTGTGGCCCCTTTAAGAAAGCAAGGCCAGTAAGAAGAGCCCCAACTGGGGAGGGAGAGAGGAAGGGAGCAGGGCCAGTTGCTAGGGGCAACCAGTTGCCTAGCAACGGACTTCCTCTCTGCTAGCTCAGGGCCAGCAACTGGGGAAGGGGCTTTCTGCCCTGGTCCTTCCTAGACTCTCGTGGTCACACATCCTCTGTTGCTCCCCATTGGCCTGGCCCTGCAGGAGGAGTCCTGTGTCCTCTACTAGCCAGCCAGCGTCACACCTCTGGGCTTTTGTCCAGGCTGTTCCCGTGCCTGGAATGCCTGGAAAATCTCAGCCTTCAAAGCCCACAGCAAACATGGCTCTGTCCTGGCTCCTCCTCTGGGTGCCTCCAAGGTACTATAGGGCTGGAAGTGTCAGGCTGGCTCTGTGGCCTCCAGGCTGGGGGCTCCCTGGGGTCAGAGTTGGGGTGGAGTCTCTTGGGGGGAAGCATTCCCCGGAATTGGCTGGGTGTGCAATGTTGGTGGCCGGGATGGAGAGTGTGAATGAATGAATAAATGAAAACAAGTCCATCTCACTTGGCCCCCTGGGTCACAGTAAGTAGTCCCCAGCTTGGAGGGCAAATGGGTGGGGTGGCCATGAACTCCCCACACCCCCACCCCCACCTCTCCAGGATGGGAAAGACAGGGGAATCCTCTGGCTGGAATAATGCTGGATCCTGGAAGTTCTGTCTGGCCCTGGGTTTGAGCTCTGATCCTGTACCTTCTCACTGGACAACCTCAGGTCAAAGAGTCCTACTCTGAGCCTCAGTCTCTCTATTTATCAAACTGTGACTTGCCCAAGGTCACAAGGCCTATTTGGTCTGGGGGTGTAGATTCATGCCAGCCTTTAACTTCTATTCCTTACAGACTCTCACTTGCCCAAGATTCTGCCCACAAGTTGCCAGGTCCCCCCACCTCCATAAAAGCCCTTTTAGGAGAACCCACCAAAGTAAGAGTGGGTCATACTTACCCAAAAATGCTCCCCAAAATACGACATCCTGATGCCTTCTGTGGAGACCCCTGCAGACTCCTGTCTAGTGCCTGTCTGAAGAGAGAGGCAAGTTTGAGCTGCAAAGTCACAGCTGTCGTGGGCCCAAGGAGGGGATATTCCAACTGCCTTCTCTGTGGAGGCGAGAGAGAAGGCAGTAGAGGAACCAAAAGCTGGGAGCATGCCAGGGCTCCTGAGATGACTCAGTCCTCGGCCAAGTAGCCCCAGTCTAGGAGGACAAAGCTGGATACAGATGCCCCAAGTTCTGTGGCTCAGATAGAGGGCTAGGGGCTAGGGGAACCTAGACTAGAGGAAGGGGCAAGGGAACTGGGGTTCTTAAGCACAAATAGGAGTTCACTGTTGAGAAGGTTATTGGATGAGACCTAGACTGGGGAGAAAAGTTCTTGGCCATTTTATTTTTAAATATGTTTTTAAATATATATATATTTTATTGATTTTTTACAGAGAGGAAGGGAGAGGGATAGAGAGTTAGAAACATCGGTGTGAGAGAAACATCAACCAGTCGCCTCCTGCACACCACCTACTGGGGATGTGCCCGCAACCAAGGTACATGCCCTTGACCAGAATCAAACCTGGGACCTTTCAGTCCGCAGGCTGACGCTCTATCCACTGAGCCAAACCAGTTAGGGCTTAAATATGCTTTAAAATAGATTTTTAGAGAAAGAGGAAGGGAGGAGAGAGAAAGAGAAATATTGCTCAGAGGAACATCATTGATAGGCTGCCTCCTGCATGCACCCCTACCGGGGACCGAGTCTACAGCCTGGACATGTACCCTGACCAGGAATTGAACCAGTGACCTCTTGGTTCCTGGGTCGATGCTCAACCCCTGAGCCACACTGTCTGGCTTTGGCCATTCTATCGATGGGAGAACAGGCCCCATCCCTGAGGGGAAGCCACTTGCCCAGGTCACACAGTGAGGAATGGATAGATCCGCACCCTGAGCCCGCCGAGTCCCGTCCTGAGCACTCAGCTCCACACTGGGCAGCTCCTGTGGGAAAAGGCTTTGGTGAGAAATGGACACCGGGGCGGTGGTTAGCAGCATGGGTGCTGGGGTCCCTTGGGGTCTCCTGGGTCCCTCTACAACAGCCCCCATGTCACGCATGCTCCTGGAATGGAGTGCTCACCCTTCACCCAGGTGCTATTGGCGCCTCCAGGAGTCCTAACCCTACCCCCGAAGCCAGTGTTCACCTGGTATCTGAATCACTGTCCGGCTCTATGCCTCAGCTTCCCCATCTGCAAAACAAGAGAGAAT